TTGACTCACAAGTACCACACATTATTCACAACTCACCCACTTACTCTAACATAGAGGTCACTGACATTACCTTTCCTTCATGAATCAAGTGCCCTCACATAACAAAAGAGATAGTTCCACACAATAAAATTTAAGAACACTTAGGAACTCAAGATAGAAAGAATTCACTCACTCTCAGAAATAACATTCATATGTCACAAAAGATGCACCATAAGCTTGCCCTTAGTGTACTACTCCACTAATCGAGCTCATTCAATATAGGATCAATTAGGACTTTATTTGGTTATAATGTAGGCTACGGGACGGGTAGGATACCTTTAGATATAAGAGTGACTACACCTCCCTAAGCACTTCAATACATATACTTTAATATTCAAACCCCATACTTATGTCAAACCAAACTCCACCTTCACATCAATGTATATTACCCCATACTTCTTCAAGCACAATTACATCAAGAGTCACCACTTATTAAGGAATACTTTTTTTTTCACAGCAATACAACTATTTTTTTTTCAATTCAAGTGGCTCTTACTTTTTCAAAATAATGCACATTTCTCCTTATTTCATTAGTTCCACTCAAAAGCCAAACCAACCACCCCACACTTTAATTTTTACACAGCTCATAACAATTCAAGTGCTCATGAGAGGTTAGAAGGTTCAAATAGATGATTAATTCAAACGTATGGGTAAGGCTTGTAATGTGATTGTCAAAGAAACAAGATTACATGCTCAAAGGGGTTAACTACGATACATAACAATTAGGTGGGTAAAATATACATATCTGGCTTAACAAAGAAACGCCTATATCACTTCCAAGACTGAACAAAACTACTATTTCGCTTTGCAAACACACAGGGCAAGTTCTAGGCATCAAATGCAATGCACAGAATATAATAAATCCTTACACACGCATGGCACATAACTCACTCAGGATTGGTTTCATCAAGACACTTTAGTCAAAGCAGTTAAGCAAAGTTAAGATCATAAAATTTAAGGTACTTATACAAGAGTCAAAAACTGAGCCTAAGCGTCACAACCAAAGTACTCACTATTCTCAAGGCATAACAAAGTCAAGAGATATTGCTTCAATTCAAAACACAACACAATGACTCCTGCTCCAAAAAAAAATTAACTACACCCGGTTCAAACAAAACACTTGGAAAATAATCGTGGTTTAAAGAAAAACCAAGGGGTAATTGCTACACTACCTAACAAAAGAAAATATTTTTTTTTCTTTAGACTTAAATCCCTCAAGAAAATTGTCTAACAGATTCATCATCGGGAAAAGTCCAATCTTTTAATAAAAATATTATTTAATTAAACTAACAAAGCTAAAGTAGCATGGAAAGTCACCCAGACAATCTCCTCACCCACACTTAAAATTGTGCATTGTCCCCAATGCACAGCATAACCATAAGAGGGTAAGAGAAACTCCCTGGTAGGCCAAAGGCCGAAGCACTAGCAGTTCATGGGGTACTCAGACTTCTCCAGGCTTGGTCCTTCGTGCGGGTACCTCACACTTTGTTCTAACCATCTGGTTTGATGTTGCATCCTTCCAATAGCTTTGCTTTCCATGCTCCTAGAAAATTAAAAATCGGCACTACAAAAATAATATAATAAAATAAATTATCAAAAAAAAATAAAACAAAGCAGTAAAGTTGGGTTGCCTCCCAACAAGCACTTGATTTAACGTCGCGGCACGACGTGAATCACTTTTTGCCTCCACTTCGAACTTATAAATTGGACCCCAAGTTTTGATTCTGCTCTATGATCATACTCCTGGGGTGGTGGAATGAATATGACTGGCCCAATAAAATAATATAGTATTCTGCACTTCTTAGCCTTTGGATGATATGTGTATTCCCGACTTTCTGGCAAGAAGCATTCCAAAATGTAGGCACCTTGTTCCTCATTCCTTGACTCCTCAAGTGGCTCGGACGACTCCATTTCCATATCATCATCCAAACACAATGTGGAAAAATGCTTGGAGTGTCAACCAATGCGCTCAACTACAAGAACATTGGGATTGTCTACATTCTCAACACTAATGACAATAGAGTCAACTAAATATGTATCCTCAATATCTTTGGTTCACTCTAGTATCTTTTCTACAACATTGATATCCTCAAAATCTAGTGCGATTGATTGTTGGTGTTCTACTCTGGCCTTCTCCTCTAGCTCATCCTCGTATATTTTTAAATCCTCCAGTATAATGGTAATTTCTGCAGCCAATTCATGCTCATATTTGCTACTATCCACAATATCAACTTGTTGCGCTTTACAATGTTCAATTAATTTATTCGCTTGCGTCTCCAAGTTGTGAATAGTTGCCTCTTGCCTTTGTATCTGCCGTGTTCTCTTATCAAATAGTTCCATGCAACACTTCAACATATCTTTGATCTCTTTCCGGTCATCATCCCTAGGTTCTTTGTTCCTATTAACTTCACGAGAAAAAGAAGAACCATCAAAGTAAGGGGTTGGGGGAAGATAAGAACTATAAGCACAACCATGAAAGTGACCATCTTGACCACCATACATATCACACACATTCCACATATAAGATTGATTCGGTGCACAAAACTCACTATCGGGAATATTTTAATAATTTTGCTTTGGGTGATTTCCTTCACAATATGCATAAGGAGGATTAAAAGTAGAATTACCAACATCAAAATTCTCATAATTCCATGATGCCATGTTTCTCAAATAAAACTAAAATTAAAAAATTAAAAAAAAATCAAATACTAAAAAATGAAATAAAAGTTCAAACTTGAAACCTAGAAATATGTACACCTACAACTACACCATTAGTTCCCCGGCAACGGCGCCAAAATCTGATCACGCCCAACTATGCCTTATAAAAGACAAAGTGATCATTGCAAATATAATTCGGTTTACAAGTCCGGAGTCGAATCCCACAGAGAACTAAGGCTTAGCTACAGTTGTTCACTATCACCAAGAATACAAGCTTGAACAATCCCCACCTTATAGATATTAAGATTCTTGTGTTTAACTAACTAACTAACAAAATAAAATAATAAATTAACACTAAAGATACTACAGGTTGGAGAAAAGATTAAGGAGGTCTAGAGTTATGATTTTCCCAATTGTCGGAATCCTTCCCGCTATGTCTTTTATAATTTTGCCTAAGTATTCTCTACCGATCATGAGCGCTCTGCGTGTTATAATTCTCTCCCGAGTAATTACGACAATTTACTAGACATACTCTCCCGAGTTACGCTAGCTGGCTTTAATTACAGCTCACTTAGATCGCACCCAAGGTTTCGTTATCCCTAATCCCACCTTTAAACCCTTGGTTATTGATTCCTCACACACGTCGGGAGTGATGTTGTTCAACAACTACCTAAATATGCACTCTCTCCCGAGTAATACATACTAAATAGGCACAGCAAATTGAGGGCCCTTCAATCAACCACAAGAATAATATAGTTGAACAAATAGAAAAAATACTACGACTCAATTATATAAAAACATAACAAGAATTTATCCTACAAAAGGTTCCATCAAAACCCTAGATAACAAATTAGTTATTCATAATAGTATGTAAAACTACAATACTAAAAGTCATAACCAACAATGAAAAATAGGAAGAGGAAGGAAAAACTCGTAGAAGAATTTCCCGCCTTGCTCCTATTGTGTCTCTGCCTCCTTAGGTCGAATCTGTGTCAAAACTTGGTCTCCTCCCCTCAAAATACCATTTTTCCATATATATATACCAAGTAGGATCGGGCCCAAACAATTATACCTTCTCCTACGCAAAAAAGGACAAGTTTCCAGGCCTGGACGTCCGCGGCTGCGGTCCGGCCGCGGTACTTTCCCAGTGTACTGCCTCAGTCCGCGTCAGGTCCGCGGTCGCGGTTTCGACCGTGTTTTTCACCCTGTTCCTTTTGGAATTTGGAAAAATGTAAAATATGAAAGTTGTATCCCCTTGAGTTAGCTTTCCAACCGTATATTGTAGAGCCCAAATGGAGTTTTGAGAGAAAAGTTATGTGTATTTTACTAGACAGTACATAATATGCTTACTCGATTCTTCATTTTGTTGCTCTATCATCCGTTGATCCCCGAATACGATCTCGGCTTAATTCTTTGGGCTTTTAATCAGACGTCAAAGCTCCAAATCACGCGAATTCATTCCATAACATCTACATAGCTCGGAATCACCCCTACAAGGCATAAAACACACAACTAGTGCAAGACACTAGCGATTAAAGCTCAAACTCAATTAAAGTGCAGTAAATTTGAGTGTAATAAGCGACTAAAATACGTAATTATAGCCTATCATCAGGCCCTAATCTTTGACTGATACCGATTATGTACATCGGCCCAAGTGATAGCTGGATATTCGATTAAATTTTGCTTTAACAAGCTATGGAGCTTCGAGTGTTCAGACCTTGTGTAAAAGCTTGAACAGCCCAGTCGTCGGTGACTGGAGGCAAATCCATTTGTTCTGCTTGGAACCGAGATACGAATTCCCTGAGCATCTCGTTATCCTTTTGTCTTACTTTGAAGAGGTGATTTTCTTGATGCAACTTTAATGGCTCCGGCGTGGGATTTTACAAAAGAATCCGCGAGCATAGCAAACGAATCAATAGAGTTGGGTCGTAAGTTATGATACCATATGATGGCACCCTTCGATAAAGTTTATCTAAATTTCTTCAATAGAACGGATTCAATCTCATCATCTTCTAAGTCATTTTCCTTTATTCCACATGTGTACGAAGTGACGTGCTCATTAGGATCGGTGGTCCCATTGTATTTGAGGATGTCTGGCATACGGAATTTCTTAGGAATGGGCTTCGGAGCCGCACTTTGAGGAAAAGGCTTCTGCACGAACTTCTTCGAATCCAAACCCTTTAGGATCGGGGGTGCCCCTGGTATTTGGCCCACTCGCGAGTTGTTTGTTTTTACTTTTTTGTCATTATCCTCGCTTTTCTTTTCACCTGATTCTATCTGTTTAGTGAGCTCTTCAAGCATCTTCATAATGGCAGGTCAGTTCCCGATTCACTAGCATTTGGTTTCTCTGGTACATGTTCAACTCTATTAACAACCTCTTGTGATGTTTCGAGCTTAATTCTGCTTGGTTCTCGATCCCAATTTTGGAGTTGTGCTATAGCAGCTTGCTGAGTCTGCAATATTTTGAATATCACTCGAAGGCTAATTCCGCCTTCTTCACCGCTCTGTGCATTCTGATCGGCCGCTCGGGCATTTCTGCGGACACTATTTCCAGGGTCGACGCCCAGATTTGCATTTAGGGCAATATGCGGACTGACATAGACGGGGTCTGCGATAGGTACTCCCTCGTGGCTAGCTTGAGGCACTTCGATCCCTGGGACGGCTACATTACCGTTTTCTTCGTGGAAACTGAGGTCGTCATCGGCGTGAGTGGGTACTGCTTGCGAGTTAGACATGTTGGCCCTGAAATCAAAGATGCTCACAAGAACAAGCGTAAAGTAGTGTTTGTTACGGGAATTATTACTACGCAATCACTATTATCCTTAGCTCCACAGTGGGCGCCAAACTGTTTACACTACAAATTGGATAACAATTAAACTTATAATGTGGTTTAATGATACGTGATTTCACCTAATACCAATTGATAAACGTAAAGATAAGTGATGGAAATTGACAATAATGTAAAGTAAACCAATGTTTGGAGAGAGCCCTCGAGCTAGTTGTGCAATGACAGTTAAATCGTAACAAGCTGATAAACAAGAGAATGTAAATTAAAGAGTGAATATTGTATTCCCTTGATCTATGTGAATGTAAGGTGTCTACAAGATAATTAGGACCCCCTTTATATAGTAGAGGAATCCTATTTAAGGTACAATTCTAACTATGGAAGTAAATCCCATGATTAACTAGATGACCGCCCTTGATTTGATCTGTTCCGAGATTCATTACGAGGCTACCCGTCGACACAGCTCCCTTGTCTCGATCAAATGTAATCGGGTAGGCCCGGTTTAACCGTATACAATATTCTTGAGTAATTTTGGTTATTTGAGTTAGTAAAAAAAAGAGAATTTTTTCTCCTTCAAAATAGTTAACAAATTCTTTTGGTTAGATTTAACAAGAATTATGAAATTTAACTATTGAACACAGAGATAAAAGAGAAAAGGGAAAAAAGCATACTTGATGTAAACAGAAACAAGTATTTCCGCAAAAATTAGAGAGTGCTCGTTCCATACATGAGTCTGATATCGATCGATAATTCTCATAACAAATGAAACTGTGTAAATTTGCACCAACTGGTGCTTCCTAACTATTTTACACACAACTGTGGTAAGTATAATTATTCTAATTACTAGACTAACATAAACAAATAAAAAAATACGGCTAAAGTGGTAAGTAAGCCTATCCATGAAACTACATTTTTAATTTTGTAACATCATCAGTGATAAATTAGGAAATTTGGTGGAGCCGTCAGTAGGATTAATAATTGCCTCGAGCTCTGCAGCTTCAATGCTCTCTTTTCTGGCAATTGGATTATCTTTTGCTACCTTTCTTTTGACTCGGCAAAGTACATAATTATCTTTGTCATATCCCTGAAAATAGATTCAAGTGTCTGAGTAATTTAGCATAATATACGTATGATCATGACATTGTTCATTTAATTGATATTATTGGTAAAAGCTAATGATATCATAAACGTGAGAAAAAATAGAGATTTTAGAATATTAGAAATTATTTTCTGGAAACATGTAAAGTTATAATTTGGGTATAAAGAACGGAGTATTTAATAGGGGTGGTAGATGGACGAGTTGGGTTGAATTTGGGTGGGTCAGGATGGATTAGGTCAATAAATGGGTCATTGCCCAACCCAGCCCAAAGTGTACTTGGGCTAAGATGGACTGGGTCAAGATGGGCTAAACAATGGGTCATAACCCAATCGCCAACTTGACCCATATTTTAGAACCATGCTCATCATGCATAACAAAGCCTTTTACCTTAAAATGTGTAAGTTGAAAAATATTTTACGGGTGGGAACTGGGGTGGGGGAGGGGGTAGGGTGGGTGGGTTGTGCAGAAAAACAAAAGAACATATAAAAATACAAAAAAAAAAAGTAAAACTGGGGCAACTAAGTAAATTTCTAGATAAGTTAGGTTGAGATCCCTTTGTTTTGAATGAGTTTCATAGGTTATATTTGGGCTGCTTAATGGGTCAGAATAGGCCATAAAAAATAATGGTTTAACTTGGGCTCAGCCCAAATTGACCCATGAGCTAATATGTTTGTAGCCTCCAACCCATTAATCTCTAGGCAGGTTGGACGGGTTGGATTAATTTGGGCTCAAATTGCCACCCCTGGTATTTAGTAAGCTAAGGAACTAATTAGATAGTGCTTCTTAATAAGCTAATAAACTCAGTTTTCTCAGTCCTCAAACGAATGTCACCTCAAAAAACTAAAAATTCAGCTAATTGCCGTTGGTTTTCTGAAAGATTTAAAAAGATTTCAAAAAATTCTCCTTTTTTTTGTTGCAAAAAACTGGTTAAACAAAGCGAAAGCTCAAAATTGTGATTGCAAACTCTGACATAATCACCACCTAGCAAAACTTAACTCGAAAATATTTGGGTTAATTAAAACCTGGATTATAATTGAACAATACTACTGTCACATCTCCCCAAACCAAATATTCTTTCCCATGCAAGCAAAACATACATTAAAACAGCACCATATATAGAACAAATTAACTTCATATGTCTCAATGTATGTGACACCTTCCGAATCTCGAAAGTCAAACATCTTACTTTTGATCGTTTAACTCTCGAAATTCGAATGGTATAACATAAATCGAGACAGATGGAGTAAGTCGAAAACGTGCAATCAAGAAATTATGAATGTGAACTTACTCGAGAACGTTGATGTAACATCTTCTTGACCTCATCAGTAAGAGAATATTCTTTCATAAGCCATTGCCCATCTTGAGGTGAACCTGAATTCTGGTACCTTAGACTTCTTTTATATCCCATAACTGAACCTTTTTCACTGCACACAGGTTTTCCTTTGTCTTGAGATTTCCAAGAACCTTTACCTACACTTCTAATAAACCTTGAATTTTCTATCTTTTTTTTCTTCAACTCCGTGAAAAAATATAAAGTCCTTTCTTTTCTATCTTTAAATACAACCCATGGTTCTTTAGAATAAAGATCTTCTTCTACAATTGGAACTAATTCAGGTAAACGTCCCTTTAATACATACTGTAAAAGATATTTCACCAATTCTGCATCTGTAGGGTGAAATCGAAATCCCTCTGTATGTGCAGAATTTTCAATGCACAACTCTTTTTCTTCGTTTTTAATGTTGTGCATAATATTTATTTGCGAGGTGCAAGGCAATTGAGACATGACTAGAAGATTTATTAAGGGGAAGAGAGAATTATTTATGGAGTACTGTGCATGGGGTGTATTTATAATTGACGTGAGTTGGCAACATTTAGTAGTTTGTGTTGTTTTATAATTCGAAGAGGACTAGGAAAATTTAATTTAAAATCCTGTTAGGTTTAAGAAACTTAATTTTGGACAGCTATTACTAGTATTAGTTTGTGCTGTCTTATAATTCTGAGAGGACTAGGAGAATCCAAAATTAAACCTGGTAATTAGAGGAAACCGACACTTGATCGTCGGCATTATATACATGGTAATTTTTTTTCTTAAATTGGAAGCAGACTTACTAGGAAATAAGAGATTTACAAAAGGGCGTCTTAGCTGGAGAGCCGTCAATATAGGCTGGGTCGACTTTGTTTGACTAAATTTTTTGGAGCCTATTTAAAAATAATTTTTTTAAATCCGATCCGAGTAATTAAGTTCGTGGCTCGTGAGGCTTGGTTGAGGTGAACCGGTCCAGCCGGTGGGCCCAATAAAAAATATATAGTTAAAAATAGTAAAAGTAAAAGAAAATTAAAAACAAAAAATAACAAGAAAAGTAGCTCAAACCCGAAATCCACTAAGCCCATCTTCTTAAAAGATCAAAGTCTTAAAGTTTATTTAAACTAAGTTTAACAAAATTATGAAATAAGCAAATAATAAAATCCTAAATTTTTCTAAACCCTAAAAGAAGTAGCGCTCTTTCCTTGTCACAAGCATACTTAAATGTGCTTGATGAAGATAATGTGTTAGTGTTGAATACGCCACTAGCGACATGAAAGTTTTTCTGAGTAGTTTGTTTTGAGTTTTGACTTTTAATGAATGAAATAGTGTGCTACATTTGTTGTGTCTTATTGTAATCTATTGGAACAATGTCAAAAGTTATTAAGTTTTACAAAGTTCTTCTGTACAACAAGATATTTTTTCACTTGTAAATATTTTTTTTTTTTTATGTTAGAACTTAAATTTAAGAAAATATGAAAAATATTTTTAAAAATGATGGGCCGGCTTTGTGGGGGGCTGCGACTCACGTATGACTAGGCTGAGCTGACCTTTTTAAGGCGAAAATCTCACTTTATACCCATTAATTCCAAACTATTTACCCTTTAATGCCCAGGCCCAAACTATTTACTACTCCTACCCATGCGGCCCAAACTATTTACCCGCTAATTCCAGCCGTTGCTAGTCACTACCAACAACAGATCAATTCTTGTGGACATCGATTGCAGCATTAATTCTTGAATGTATGAAAATACTACTGTACTATTTTGATAAAGTTTGCGTATGCTTTATGCGACCAAGAACTGAGGCATTCATTTTCTCCCATCCGTTCGCACTGGAAATTGAAATAACTTCAAGCCTTCGTGGTTTTAGCACTGCAAACAAGTTTTCAACACTAAAATACAGGACACAATTCAAAAATTAGATCATAGGAAGAACAGATCAATTTTTGAAACTCCATATGAATGAGTTCAAAATGCCAGATCTGATTTTTTATAGTGTTTTACTGTTGAAATCGTTAGTTATTGTTCTTTGATGTGTAGATTGTACCTTTGATGCTGATTTTTGGAGATTTATTGTACAAAATTTTAAATCCACCATTGAAGGACCTTGAAGCTTGAAACTCATAACTTGGTTTGTTTGAGTTTTTAATTGTTTTGATTCGATCCTGTATGAGTTTGTTTGGAAAGTTGATTGGAGGTTGTAGCTAAAGTTTTAGTCAATTTGGTGGAGATTTTGTAGTAGATTGTAGATAATTGGGGTGAAATATAGTTGAACCAGAGAAGAAGACGAATTTATTTTGTATACCCAAATAGCATACAAATATACCATTTTAGTATACAATTCATTCCAACTATATACCCTATTAGTATAGCTATATGGTATCATATGCTAGTTGAATCATTTTTTTGTTGTATTAGCTGCATTTAATTGGTACAATATTTGATTTTTTTTAATAATAGTAATATAGTACAATATCTTGAAATACCTTATTATATTAATATGTGGTACACTATTTTTTTATTTTTCTCTTTATGCATGTGTGTTATGTAATAGTAGTATAATCATATAGTTGCCGGGAATTAACTAGTAAAAAATGTATACCATGTTGGTATAGTTATATGCCATATTGGTATCATATGGTAGTTTGAACATTGTTTTGGTTGTTTTAGCTGCATTTTAAGTGAATTCTATTATGAAATTATTTATATGAACATGAGTTGCAATGCTGGAATTTTTGTGTGCCGATGGACATAAATTATATGTATGTAATAGTTTTTATAGTTATAGGCAATTGTTGGAACGAACCCATACAACTATATACCCTCTTAGTATACGAAATGAGCAAGTTGTTTTGCGAATATTTAGCTTGCAATACGAGCATGTAATTTTCTCATACTTTTATTGCGTCCTTTAATATTTTGGTACAGTAGTATAGTCGCAGATAGTTGTAGCAATATTCTAGAGAAATCATATGCTCTGTTGGTATACATATATACCATATTGGTATCACATGGTACTAGAAGTCTTTTTTGCGACTTATACTTTTGTTGCATTTTTTAATATTTTATTATCATTTTTATTCTAACTAGTATATATGGAGATTTAGTTGCCGTAGATTATGTTTTCTTGCTCTATAACTGGTTGTATTACTGCTAATGGTAGAGTGTGTACTGATATTTATAGGGAAGGAGATCAAGGTTTGCATGGCAATCATGTGTTGATTCTTAGAATCTAATTATGTAATTTATGGTGCTCAGCAGCAGTCAATGTGATATTCAGTGAATTAGATCAAGTGACAACTGATATTATTTCAGTTTAATAATTGAATTTAAAAAATGAGAAAGAAAAAAAAACAAAAGGTATATTGTACTAGTTATATTAAAAAATGGTGAATAAATATTTACTATATCAGTTATTTTTTCTTATTGTATAAAAAAAATAATAAAAAATAGTGAAAACGGTAAATGAAATTAGATTATGAAGAGAAAAAGAATATAAAAAAAGTTAAATGAAATTAGAAAAGAAAAAAAGAAAAAAATAAGAAGAAAACGAGAAAAAAGAAAAGGAGAAAAGAAAAAAAAAAGAAAAAGAAGAAGAAAATAAGCATAGAAATAAAAAAGATTTGGAGAATAAAAAAAAAATTCCCCATAAAAACTACTATGGGTAAGAAATGTAATTAATTTATGGATAGAAAAACAAATAGGTAAACAAGAGTAAATAGTTTTATTTTTGTGGGTAACTTTGTCATTCTCCCCTTTTTAAATCCCATCAAAATGGTGGACCAGCTCGTCTAATGCTAAGGCCCGTGGGCTGGGCCGACCAATATTAACAGCTCTACCTAGCTGCAATAAAATAAAAATAAAAAACAAGCTAGTGAGCAGGAAATCGCACTTTACCGTAAATAGGAAGGCTTTACTAGTTTTTTTTTTTTTGGTAATAAAAGACTTATTCAACAAAGCTAAGAGTTATTACAACAAGAACTCAGTCTAGGCCACATAGTGCCTAGACTGTCTCTTTTTAGTACATGGAAAGTAAAAACAGGCGGAACAGCAAAAGTTTGAAAAGTACAAAAAGTGTCCAGGCTGCAACCATTTTTAGCTAACAGGTCCGCTACTCCAATAGCCTCTCTAAAGATGTGCTTCAGCTAAGGATCATTCGCCATCCGTAATAGGTACCTGCAGTCATCAATTAAATTTTGGTAGAGACACTTGTTAGGTTTTAGGAGATTTAATAATTCCAAGCAGTCCGTCTCTGTTACTAGTGGAAGGAGTTTCTTTGTTAGTGCTAGTTTGACTCCGTGAAGGAGGGCTAGAATTTCCATGTAGATGTTGGTGGCAAATTTAAGTCCCATATTGAAACCCAAAATCCAGTTCCCCTTTCCTCTCTAAACACCCCTCCTATTCCTCCCACTCCTGGGTTGCCCGCGCAGGCGCCATCTATATTTAGTTTGTAGTAATTTGGGTTGGGTGGTTCCCATTTTACAAAAATAGTTTCCTTGACAGGTTTTAAGCAATTGTTTTTTGCCATGTAGAGGAATTCTATGGCCCTACTGATGGGTTGGCATTTGTTGATGGGTGCTTTATTTCTTCCAAAGAGGATTCCATTTCTAAAATTCCATATATGCCATAAGAGGAATGGGAGAAAATCTGCCCAACGAAGGTAATTATCAAAAGAAGCTTTCGACAGGAGCTTGTTCTTAAGCCAATTTTGGAGTGTGTCTTTTCCTTTGGGATTTTGGGGGAAGGGGTGTTTTGTATTGATTTGATGCCAGATTTGCCTAGAGTAGTTGCATCGGAAGAAAATATGCTCTATGTTCTCCGTTTCCCTGTTGCAAATGTTACAAGTGTCTTCGTGGCAAATCCCTCTCTTTTTTAGCAACTCTTTAGTGGGTAGCCTATCCCAAAAGATTGTCCACGGGAAGAATTTTAGCTTATTTAAAGAGTTAATTATTTCCATATCCAGGCTAAGTTTTTAGGATTGCTCGTGGATTATGAGACAGCTTCATATGCATCTTTGATTGAGAAGAAATTGTGATTTTTAGAATTCCAAGTGTATGAGTTCCCAAAGGGTCCGGTTTGTTTTATGTAGGTGCAGTTGATTTTGCAGACAATGTCCGGGGGGAGTTCGAAGGATAGGTTTCTGAGGTCAAACATTCCATTTTTAATGAGGCAGGATAGATTTTGGTCAAGCTCCCCAGCTTGTATGGGTCCTTGGATGGATTCCCTAAGAGTTCCTGATTGATTAATCCAGTTGTCATGCCAAAGATTTATGGTTTTTCCATCACCTACTAGCCATTTAGTATTAGCGTTGCATATTTTATTACCCTTTTTAATAACTTTCCAAGTGTGGGAGCCTATATTCTTGCTTTTCCTGTGGTTGTATTTACTATGTATAATTTTGGCCCATAAGCCATCTTTCTCTTCTCTATATCTCCACGCTAGAGCTGCATTGAAGGAGGAATTTTTCATATGGGTGTT